ACTTTCTTCCCCAAAAGCAATGGAAGACACTGTTGCCCTTAGTTTTCTTGTATTGATCAATGGTAACAGGAAGATGAGAAACTCTGCAAAGCCGTGCCACAGCAGCTCCCGGTTCATATACTGGTAGGTTATGTCCCGGACCACGCCGTGTTTGGCGAAAACTGCCCGAGCTCCCACAATTCTTTCAGCCAGGATAGGATGTTGACCTTTCCGTAGGAACACAAGAAAGTTGATGAGACTTGTGAACTGGGTAATACTAGAAACAAGGGTTCGGCAAATGATGAAGCCCTGTTGGAGTAAACCACAGTTCCTCCTTTCAGACACAGATCCTCCTGAGCTCAAATTCAAGCACACCAGCAGGCTGTGGGAGCGCTCCTGGAGCCAGCGGAGGCCTGCAGTGAGCAGGACCAGGCCCAACTTCTGCCTGCAAGACAAAGGTGTGTAATGGGCAGATGAGGAACGGGTGCTGTGGTAGCACAGGCTCAGTAAAGACTGGCCCACAGTAGTGCTGCTGGAATACAGTGTAAACCTCCACAGAAGCAACTGCAGTAGCTCCCTCAGTTCAGGCTCCAAAGGGGTGAGCAGGCCCGGGCGGCAGTTCTGGAAACACTGGGAGAACTGAGTCCATACAAGCTGCTCAAGGGCCGAATCCAGCTCAAGGGCATCCAGCTGGTTGATGCGCAACACTGGGGTCTGCAGGTCAACATCTATTTCTGGACCAGAACTTCCAGTCGTCCTTTTCTGGTTGTCCTCATGTTCCAAATTTGCTGGAAAATATCAACAAGAAAAACATGTACATAAATGTCTTATTTGGCATTTACATTATTAAATATCTTAACATACTGTATATACAACTAAATAAAATTGATCTATGAAAGTCATGAATATGAAGAAAATATATATACCAGCACCAACTACTTAAAGACAACCCAGTTGCTGAGAGGAATGAGGCCCCAAAAGGTAAAGCCCAATCTCTTAGAAAGGCTATTTTTTCTTTAGACATAGGAATGGAAATCACTTTTCACATGTAAAACCTGTCTTTAATGCTACATTTGAGCTGCACAATGCAAAGGAGCTCAGACTCCAGTGTATGAACACACGCACACACACAAGTTCTTATAGCTATCTTTGTGAGGACACTCATTGACATAATGCATTCCCTAGCCCCTAACCCTAACACTTAACCTATTTCTACCCTTAACCCTAAAATCAAGTCTTAACCATCAACCAGCCCTTTTAAGTAGAGAGGACTGGCAAAAATGTCCTCACAATGCCAAAACGTCTCCTCAAATATGGTTTCCGACTAAAATTTGTCAGCACAACCAGCCCAGGGGTTCTCGGTGCCTGCTCCCTCTGGTGACAGGGGTATGCGTGTGTGTGTGTGTGTGTGTGTGTGTGTGTACAAATCACATCACTAGGGATTAGACTAACAGCACAGTCTCTGGTACACCATAAACATCTGCCAAATGTGGAACAATTTTTCTCCCGGTACAGTCGACTCCATATGGGACCTCACCATTGTGATGTCTGGGCTATTTTGCGTAGCAAACATTCCCAAACTGCACAGTTCCCCAGTTTTATCTGCCCTTGCCTCAGATGAAACGCTTAAGAAGTGGAAGGCTAACTAACACAAGGAGAGATGTAGCAAGAGTGCCACAGAGAGAGAGAGAGGCCTTTTTTGACAGGGGCTTTTGTGTATCACTGAACAGGATTTGTCACAAGGCTTTAAAAGAGATTTCAGCCGGGTAAATATGGCAGTTTTGACAGGAAGAGAGAAGATGGTCACTTTAGACATTTCTCAAGCAAGTAAAAAAAAAAAAAAGATTCTAATATGCAGTGGCAATACCTGGGCTTTTGTGATGCAGTGGACCATATGTGTATTCATGATACACCGTCCAACTGAGTTAAAATTAGCAAAAAGACTGATTTCATGCTAAAGTAAGCAGGTGTGACAAATTCATTGAGCTGCACTTGAAATGCTGCCATGTTTAAAGACTAGAACCTCTCCTGTGACGAGAGTAGAGTTTGGATTAAAATAAGAGACAGGAGTAGTTTGAATGCAAATACTAACCAATAACCGGGCTCCATTTGTCTCGCTTAATCTGAACGATTATGTGCAGATTATGTGCATGTATACTGTATGTCAAGAGTAGAGTAGAACTCTAATACAGAACTAAGTTAATCTCTCAGTTCACATATACAAACAAAAATGTGTCCTTACAACACACAAACACACACATGCACAGCAGCAGCCGTGATGGGAGAGTAAACCTGGCCGGGTCCAATATTCTTTTCAAAGCCTTTACATAGCAGTTCACAAGTTATGAATGAATATGTTTTATTTGGGAAAACACTGTATTGACAGCTACCTGTCAATAGTAATGTGACTATTGTCAAGAGTCTGTCAATATTAATGTAATTATGATGTAGAGGGATCAGAGGGATGTTGGAGTCGGGGGCCAAGTAACATCTCCTGCCCACTGACATATCAATAGCTAGGATTGCTATTGACAGCTTCCCTTCAGACTTGCAGCACTTGCCAAATATATAACAAGCAGACACTTCAGTCAATGTCGGGCTGCCTATACAAATTAAGCATTTGAATTTACAGGGCTTTTACTGTGGACAGCTGGAAATCCATGTTCCTTATGTAATAATCAAAAGTCATACTCAATGCCAGTGTTTACAAAGTACTGACAGTGTGCGTGTGTGTACAGACAGCAGTATTTGCACATAAAAAGCACACAGAAATAGAAGCAGGGAGGCTCTTACTCTGATGTATTCACTCTCTCTTTCACACACACAGACACACACACAATCCAGATGTAATATATTGATTTATTAATTCTCTTGTGGGTCAGCCAACCAATCAACCCAAAGACAACATGCCCTCCCTCTCCTCTTTGAGAGTTGGTGGCTAACAACCAACAGTCAGAAGTAGGAATGAAACTGTTACTGGTTTCATGGTAAACCCCAGTAACATTTCCAACAGTTAATATTACCGTTTCAAATTGAAATGATCATTAAAACCATAACTGATTACGACACTTTGAAAAACTCCACCGTTGCAGAAAGAAAATCGATGTAACGGGGGGCAACAATTTATAGCGAATGCAAACTACAACCTCACATATGAAGAAGTTAGGATGGTACTGTATGTAAAATCAAAAACTGAAAATAGTGATTTAGAAATTATCTGTGTCCTGTGTTACATTGAAAACAATGCAGCAGCACATTATTTGATGTGATGCCTCATCAATTTTATTCTTTGTTCAAAATAAACATCCCCTTCAATTCTGATGCCTGAAACACATTCCACAAAAAGTTGGGATGGTTGCATTTCAGGACCAGTAATGAGGTGAAATAATGAAATGATGATTCCATTTTAAACAGGTGACATCACCAGGTGACTGCAATCATGATCTGGTACAAAAGTGGCATTCGGGAAAGGCCAAGAACTTTAGGAGGACCGAGGATCGCCAGTTTGCCAACATGTGAGAGAAAATCATTGAAAATGTTTAAAAACAATATTCCTCTAAGAAAGATATGCTATGGTGCATAGCATAATTCAAGGATTCAAGGAATCTGGAGGGATTTCAGTATGTAAAAGGCAAGGGTGCAAGCCTAAGCTGGATGACCGTGCTCTCTGATCCCTCAGACGGCACTGCATCAAGAATCGTCACTCTTCTATAAGCGATATAAACACATCATCTTTAGTCAGAAGTCAGGTTACAGAGTTTAAGAAAAATTAACAGCAAATCATCTGAAAAGTCTTGTTTTTTGTATAAAACTATTTAAAAATGTCTTCCGGGGAAGATTAAAGGGTATTTTGATTCAGGCTGACTTCCATTGCTAACAGACAACAACAACATCTAATCTAACAGGGGACACACTGCAACAGTGCTTCAAGACAAATGGGGCCATGACCAGCATGAGGAAGGCAACAAAAGTATACTGAGCATCAAACTGAAGTCTCACAGCTGCACTGGGTCCAATGAAAATTAGACAACATGCTGTAATGACAGCTACCCAATAAAAAGGTGGACAGACAAAGAGGACAAGCACGCTAGACAATACTTCATGAACCCCCAGCTCAGAGCTCTGAGCTACTGTCTACTGATAGAGTGATGGAAAACACCGGGTAGCTAAGGAGGAAAAAGGAGGGAAGGGAAAAACAGTAAGCACAAACCTTCCCCTAGAAGCTGACCTTGAGACCGACAGTCACAATAAAGGAGGAGGGAACATTTCTGAAGCATATGGCTCAACCATTCTGAGCCAACAGACAATGGAGAGGCTACACTTTGTTCTTGACCTTGGGTTTGGTGTCTAGGGAGGCGATAAGGGTGTTTAGGCCAGGGGACTAAAGGCTGGGGGATGCTGGGAAGGTGGAGTATCTTTGGAAGACTGCGTTTTTCGTTTTCTGCAGCAGGTAAGTCCTTTGAAGCCACTCACAAAGCTATCATTCTGTGCCACTTAGAAATTGTATGGCTCAACTTCTTGATTTAGTTCTTGGTGTGCTGTATTGAGCAAACTCATTAGCACTTACATATGACTGTTAGTATGTTTGATAAACTCAGTGAATGCATAGCTTTATTAATGTTTCATACACCTAAAGGTGACAGCCCATGTGGGTTTATAAGACACTTACATCATCTTCAGGGGCATGGGAGAAAAAGGAAAACAAAAACATATATGTATTGCATATTGAACATGAAATGCTCTGTGGATAGACATTAAACAAAACCTGAGCTATGTGAAATATATGAACACATGTACTGTAATCTACTGTAACCTGCCATATCAAGCATGCTCTGATGCCCAACAGCCATATTCTGGTAAATGTATTAACTCGAAGATCACAATAAAAAGGACAATAAAATGCCAATTGCATATCATTCTCAACTTCATCTCATACAAAGGACACTTTCTGTCCACCATATCTAAACTGAGCACAAACAGCCTTTGGTCAGGTTAAGACTGCCATATATTTTAGGATGATAACTGTGCTAATAACAGAATATATTTCTTCTGACCATTTGTCTTGATACTATAAAAAACACTACAGGACTAACTTACACTGTAACTTATACAGTTTATGAATAACCCTGCAAGTTCTCTTTCCTAGAATTATTTAAGCAATCCCAACAAAAACTTTAGTAGGCTAAATCTATTGCTAGACATGGAGTCGTGCCATGTCACCCTTTTCCCAAACCTCACAGGGCCATATCACCACATGCTGACAGTTCTGAAGTCATTTCAGGCACATACAGGAAAACAATGCTTAACTCTGTTTTGTACTTAATTTCTTTTTCTTGGTCTTGAACAACCCCAGAATCAGCCAAACCCAAATTTGGACTGTAATGAAATTATGCATAAATTTTCATGTGGCTTTCTATGTTTGCAGCAAGAAATAGGCTATGTGTTGGCAAAGCATGCTGGGTTACAACTGAACATTTTCTTCTCTTGCTCATGTAGATTAATTAGTGTAAAAGCTCCTGTGAATAAAAACCCAATTCTTTGAGCACCTGAGTCTCATTTTTCCTCCCTCTTCTACCTGCTCACTTTGTTGCCCTTCTTTTGCCAGGAAGGAGTGTGAACCTGCTAATGTCCTCACTATGAAAACAGATGAGAATGTCAGATTTAAAACTTTTAGAAAGTGATGTCATACAGCAAACCATGGGCATTACAGGGACACCAAGATTACCCAGGTGGTAACCAGACTAATTGTTATGAGTCTGTTTCATAAAAAATGAATGTGTGCAAATGCACATAGGGGTCTTTGAGCTGTGTGTGTGTGTGTGTGTGTGTCACACACTAATGCTTTATCAAGGCTCTCTCCCTAATCACCCAAGACTCCTTCGAGCCATGGGGTAAGGGCCAAGTTAGTGCCTGAATAAGAAACCATCAGAACAGCATATCTGACACACAAAAACTGTTCTGCTTAATGTGGTGTGCTCAGAAGGTGAATTATTTAAGAGAATTAATTGATTTCATAAGTACAAAGGTTGACTATGCTAAGGCTGTATGAGTAATAAGTACAGGGGTTAGCAAAAAAACAACTTAAAAAGTCATGAAACATTTAGAGGGGAGAGAGGCACAATGAATGTGGGAAAATGTGTAACTAATAAATGAGAAAACTGAAAATGTGTCTTTCTTAGGAGTAAGCGAGAAAGCAATGGGGTTTCACCTCATGCAAATAAAATGTGTTATTCCGAGGAATATTTTATAGCACATTTCTTAACTTCTCTTTATGCATGGAAACCATTGTGTTAATAAAAGAGAAACCATTCTGTCAGGTTTTCTTTTTTAATCTGTAGAGCAATTGAAATATGTGTAGCAGTGGAAAATTATAGGTGCAGGATGAAAGATCTGCTAGTCAAACTGTAAGAACCACTGGCGCTACTTTTAGGAATTCCTCTTTCATATGTACCTGTGAATAAAATCTGAAAATCATATTTCTGCTGCTGAAGAAAATGTACCCCTAATGACATGCTGAGATCTTGTCTCAATTCAGAGGCTTATTTATGCCAAAATTAAAGAAAATAATAATAATGATGTTCCTTCTGGCAATGTAGAGCTAGTGCAATGCAAATAGGGATAAAATAGTATGCTTTTTAAGAGACAACTCAATATGATGTACAGACTTTTTCACAATTCAGGATACTGGATGTTCAGAGCTTAGCCACACTGCCTCTCTGTAAAAACAGTTTTTTTGTTTGCCAGTTAGTCGATGTAAACCTTGCAAGTACAGATTCAGAAAATACAGAACAGTATATTTGATTACATTTTTGAGTTTTTAATTAAAAACCTTTCAGTCTGGTAGGAAAGATATTTAAGTATGCATTACTTGCAGCCACTTTATGAAATTGAGCATAGTGCATGTGCAATATAATGTTTTTGTTTTGTTAAATGACAAACTATAAAGCTAACCCATCTAGGATGCAAGTACATGTGTTCATTTGGAAACTGTACAAAATGGCCCTATGATCCCAGAGTGAGATCACTGTCCAATTTAACTTCAACAATTACCTTAAAATCAAACTCATTACACTAAGTGTTTAGCTACAGAGATCTGCACCTATACTCCAATCTCATAAGGCAGCTGGTCTACATGCTCCTCAGAATGGCATTGTCTCTTCATCTTTTAGCTCATGCACATCAGTCTTTAACAACAATGAAACCCAAATCTGCTCCATTTTGATAATAAGGCAAGAGCATTATGTGATAATCAGAGCAGGGATTAGTTTTCAACAGACTGGGTGAGAGCAATGCAGTAAAAGCACTGGGTATAACCATGAAGCTGATAAGAGTAGAGGAGTGATGACTGGGGTGAGAGAAATGAAGTGGTCTTTTGAAAATCTATAAGATCACCTTCCTAGGATCTCAGTGTGGAAGGCTTTGATCTCTGGCACTGATTATTTAGAGGTATAATAGCATTTCGTACGGAGCAGCAGAACATACTCTTGAAGGAAACAGTGAAATGGATACCACTCATAGCTGCAGTTTATAATGGTACTTGGGCAGAACACATCTACAAGAGTGCCACAGAGAGAGAGAGAGAGTGAGGTCTACAGACATCAATAATCGATTTGATTTTAAAACGTGCATACATGTAGACAGAGGAGCACATAGAAGTCAGAGACACATTAATGGTGTTACACAACAAGAAGGAGGTGATATCGTTAGACAGCGATTATTTATATTATTGTTTATACTAGACAGACGTGCTTCATTTGAGGTTCCTGTGGACATAGCACTATATGGATGGAATAACGCAGACTGGAGGATTTCCTAAACATTGCAAGCAATATATAGGCTATAATACATACCCATTTCTTTTCAGATGAGGGTGAACTCAGTGTAACCTATTCCTCCCTTAAACGACAACAACCTGCATTTCCGTGTTATCATTTTTGCCCCGCCTTTTAAGAAACTGACCAATGGATTGCAGTAACGTCACGATAACGATGCCCGGTGGCCACAAAAAGCCAATCAGATCAGGTAGCGCGAACGCAGCGGCAAACAGACTCGGTTGTGTGAGAATAATTTATTGACAGTCTGTCGTTGTAGTTACGGCACATAGCGACTAAGATGTTCTTAAAGCCACGGTAATTAACATAAAGTAATGGATATAGTCCTCACTGCATTTGAAAATGCTAGATATTGCCATTTTTCAGGTTGCTCTACAGTCGTATAACAGTATAAACTGTGAGGCTGTGCAAAGGAGCAGTGAATATTCTTAAGTCTGCTGTTTAATTCATGAACAGTGCATGCACTTTCTTCGAGCAGTGTTGAAAACTTGCACAACCATGAGTCAACAAACAACACCGGAGTCAGGGGGCAACTCGAAGCCGTGGGGAGAGGGAAGCGACACAATGGACCCAGGACCCCCGGGAGAAAGAGAGCTGAAAGTGGGGGCTCAAACCAGCACTATCAAACATCTTCTAAACGAGTTCAGAGGACTTCACGAGCAGAGGCTGAGATGGCTGGAGCTGGACTCCACTGTAACCCGGGAAGAACTGCTGCAAGTGAGTGGAACCTTATCCAGATGTTAACAATACCAGTCAAAAGTTTGGAAAGTTTCCCTTTTTTTTAACACTAAATACATGACAACTATGAGATAACATATGCACTCACCGGCCACTTTATTAGTTGCACCTGTACAATTGTTTGCAATTCACTGCAACTCTTTTGCCTTAACATACTGGATGTGTTTATGAAGCTCAAAATGTTTTAAGTTTTTGCTGAAGTTGTCATAAATGTATAAATTCAATTATATGTCTATTATTGAGGTCATAGTTAAAGGTGTTATTGTACTGGACTATATTATATTGAGGAAGTGTTCATAATATTCTGACCCTCTCATGTATGTTGCTGGGGAGGACACAAATTTAGAGACACCCCTCAGTTTAGAAAGCAGGGTGTGCAAAGCTGGTACAAAAGTAAGAAGTGGCTGCTATGAAGAATGTGAACTTTAAGCACCTTTTGAATCATTTTGATGTCACTGTATTAAGCTACATTGTAAAAAATAATAGGAAATAATTGGTAAATTAATAATAATAATAGATAAAAAAAGACATTACAGTGGGTTTGTCCAAACTTGTGACTGGTGCTATATGTGAATTGATGGTAGTGTGGCCCAGTGTATAAGGTGCTGGGTTTAGGTGTCAGTCTCTCTTGAGATGTGGGTTCATATTCCATCAAATCACACTCCCAATATGACCAAGAGTGTGATTTCATATTGTAAAACTTCTGCTAGAAGTTGTGGAACATAAGAGAATAATGTAAATGTGTAGCACACCACAGTTTAAACACTTTTATGAAGGCATAATGACACCAAAGAACTGAATATCAGTAACATGAGATAATTTGTGCTCAGTGGTTTTTGTTGTGTCTGTTCTTAGTAAGGTCAGGATACAGTGTACTAATCAATGTACTAGTCAAGTGTCTAATTAGACACAATCAAATATTGACCCCCTCTCAGCTTTATGCAGAATACAGCTTTGCATACTTTGTCACCACAGCGACATGTAGTCTAGCTGCACAGCTGAGCCTTACATGAGCTTCTAAGCATAAATGTTTGACCATGTTGGCTGCTGGGAGCACTGTCAAGTTGATTAATTGAAAACAAATTATTGTTGAAAAGCATAATAAACCTTTAAATTGATCTCTGATTTAGTCCAAAACTGTTTAAATTTTTGAAATTCTAATTAAAATGTAGCTTATTTGTAATTATATGAATTATATTCATAAGCCTGGTATTCACTATAACACAGTGTATTATCCTTGTGGTCTAACAAACATTTTGAGTGTCTCCTTCTTATATATCGAGAAATACTGATTGTTGATCAATATGAAAAAAATATATTAATGATATTTTTGGACAAACCCAGCCCTACATCCAATACAAATCACAGAGCACCCTGTCCACATTGACTCAGGAATGAGAAGATGACCTTCATCCTATAACATAAATGACAGGAGGAAGCATAAGGGTGCTTTCATAAAGCCACAACACTTGTAACAGGTGGCAAATTGCATTATGTTTCCATCTGAGTGGCAGAGATCAGGAACACAGATCCACACTCATATTTAAAAAAGAGAGGTTTCTAATCATCAGGATTGTCATGTGACATCGTTTAGGTACAGATTGTAGCCTCTGTGAACTGGGCTGTGCATCAAAGGAAGTGTAACAAGGTTTCAGAGATGGGTTTTGGTCAGCCAGCCCCAGTTGAGGGGCTGCTTAACAAGGTTATGTGCTTAGAACCTTTGAGCTCCTGAGTCCTAAAGGTTGATGTGAACAGTTAATCATAAAGCTTGTCCATGGAAAACACAGGGCCCAGTCATCTGTGACGCCATGCTAAGATTATGATGTTTCCATGTTAAAAGACTTGAGCAGCCTTCTTCTTATAGTTTATGGTAGTCATCACAAATAGCTGTCCCAAAGCTGGAAGTAGCAAACCAGCATGCTCTTGAGTTTTATGTAAAATATAACCCTAGAATTTTAACCTAGACTCTGTCACATCAGCACACTCTTTGGAAAGTTACTCTCCCTGAAGGTATAGATCAGTGGTGTACAGTATTATCTGTTGGGGGGTGGGGAGGTGGTGGGGGGTGTAAGCTGTTTGTTGACTTCTTTGGCTGCTGGGGACAGACATTTATGAACAGTTGCTCCTCTAAGTCTAAATAATTATGAACTTTTGCAGCACTGCCATTTAACACATCTGCAATTAGAGTTGGCTAGGGCTGTGTGATTAATTGAATTGGATTTTTGGCTTCCAACAATTATGAATACAAAACAATCAGGACAAAATTACTATTGTGCCACACTCCATTTCGCAATGATGATCTCATTTTGTCTTGTGTTATAAATCCAGTGCACCAGTGTGAGCATTTTTTGCTTGGATTGAGTGAAGTGAAACATATCACTTGAGTTGACAACACGAAAGATCATTACTGCACGTGCAATAAAAGCAGTAAAAATTCAGTGTCAACGTGATATCCAACATCAGTTTGAGTTTTGATGAATCATGGGGTAATTAATCTGCCAGTTTGAAGAAAAACAATAAATTAACAAGTGGGAGTACTACACTAATAGGTCAGAGAATATAAAGATTGTCTTTGCAACTCAGTTTCTTATTAACTAGGGACATATTGCACCTACTTTTCAATAACAGTTTCTTTACTAGCAACATTTGGTCCCATTTCTGTCACTGGAGATGTCACCTGCTACAAGTGCCTCAGCTTTATGAAAGTATTCTTGCACTTTCTTCTGTCATTTACCTGATTGTGATGTTGTTACTGCACAGTGAAAAGTAGCAGAGTGAAAATTAGGGCATGTTGTGTGTTGCTTGACTCCAACGCTGTAGACTAGGGTTTGTATCTTCCCATACAAACAGTTGGATTTAGTTACTCTGTAACCCCAAACACTGGTACGTAATTTGTGATGCACAAATTACATGTGTTTACTGCCAGCTTGTTTTAGACAGGGATTTTGTTTGTCACTGATTTGACTGACTCAATAAAATAAAGCAGTTTGTGTTATAAAAAACACAGCTTGGTTCTACTGTCAGCAAATAAACCACAGTTTCATCCTGCTGTGCTGTTATTCTTTCAGAAGAAAGTGGATTTCCTGTGGTCTTATGTGAATGACTTCGCAGACCAGAACCAGGTGCTTGTTCAGACCATTGAGGATCTACAGAAGGAAGCAGACCACGTAGTTTCCACTTGGGGAATGAAACTATTCACCTCTGATCATATTTTGGATGTAAGACTTTAAATATTTTTATATCCATTTACGTTAATAAGGTACCTGGCCCAGATACAGCATCGGTGCTTTGTTTAAATGTTAATTTCTGCATTTCAGCTCCCTTAATTGCATCCACATTTTCTTCACTTGGATTTTCCCTTTGTTTCTTATTTCTGCCCATATAAGAGAAAGATGCAAGGAGAAAATGAAAAGATAGAGAAATCGACACAACACATTTATGCAGACATGATAGGTCCTTTCATCTGACGCATGCAATCGCCAACTGATTTCCGATAAAGGGGTTGGTTAGTCCATGTAAGGTTTCTGCAAAGGATGGTTTCATGTCTCCTTGCTCATGGCTTCTCCAGGCAGCCTCCTTGCTCCTCAGAGCAGGAATAAGAGCTTTGTGGCGTTCTTCAAGATGGTGGACTGGAACTGGACTGGAAATAAGATTTGCAGGACACAAAATTTATTAGGTACAAACCACTTTTTCATTTTCAATTCATACCTTACAAATGTCTTTTAATTTTCCTTTTTAATTGTTTCACTTTTTAAGAAGGATAGAAAAATTAAAATGACTGGTATTGAAAAAGTTCAATATTAATACAGACTGATGAAATTTACTTTTATTGACAGATTTGCCACATCGGCTCACCATAAAAGAAATTATTTACCTTTTCTTTCAAATAAAAGTAGTAATTTTGAAGTATAATTTACAATGTATTCTTTATTGCATGCTTGACAGTTAAGTTGGGCTTTGTATATATGCAATTTAGGAATTGTTTAGTCTTCAGTTATACCGATAAACCACTGGAAATTTGTTGTAGGCTATGTCTAGTAAGGAGGATCTAATTGTACACACATTTTCAAGTACATGTTGAAATTGATAAATCTGATTTTATGTGCAATAATGAGAGTGCACACAGTTTTTTCACAAAAATGTACATATAAATTTATTTACTTGTACACAAATAATCAGATTCAAGTACTTCTTATCAGGGCATAAAACCTTATTTTAGCTACATTTGTAAATCTTAAAATATGTATAAATATTATTTGCACTATTTTTTTTAGAATTACTTTCTCAGATTAGCTGAATGTAAACTCGAAAAATTAGTCAGGCAAAGCAGGTCCTTTATGTTTGTGGCCATTTTCCATTAGAATCCAGAAATTATTGGTGAGACAGGACTATAAAGACATCATCACCACTTGAAGTGACCTTAAGGTATCATTCCATTTTAGTTTTATATTATAGTTTTAGCCAGGCCTCTACCAATATTCACTCTTCGGAGTTGATTTTGTGGCTAGAAAAGTAATTACAGACTATTATACATCAAAGTACTTGTCTGCTATTGCGGAGAAGGTCAGCGGGCTAGATTTGTGTGCTCTCTACGCTGGTCACATAGGTCACTGCAGTACAGTGCTTTGCATTTCTCAACATTCAAAGCTGTCCATTTTTAACTTTCATCAGTTTAATATGCTTCTTTTTTTTTTTTTTTTTGCACACCCTGCCACAATACATGCCTTGTGTCAACATGGTGCCCTCTGAGGCAGATGTTTGCGCGTTCCACTCTCAAATGCTTCGTTTTCTTCTTTTTTGTGTGTTTTTTTACTCTTTCTGCAGTGCACAAATGTCATGCGCTGCTAACGACAATAACAACAACAACCGCCACCACCACCACCAGGCACGGGCAGGCTGTAATTGGGACAGTGATCCGGTGACAGAAACGCAGACGGGGCAAGAGAGGAGGGCTCCATGCTAGGCTAAAAGTTCGTGCTACCCGACCGCCACTACCCAGCCTCTTACTAGCTAATGTACAGTCTCTGGAAAACAAATTGGACAAGCTAAGGGCTAGGATTACAACACAACAGGAAATAAGAGAATGCTGTGCTCTAATTCTCACTGAGACTTGGCTTTCCAACAAAGTCCCAGACCTCGCAATTCACCTAGAGACCCACTCTGTACATCGGGGAGATCGCACTGCTGCTTCGGGGAAGGTATAAGGAGGTGGTGTGTGTGTGTTTATCAATAACTCATGGTGTGGAGATGTACAGACTGTTTATAAGCACTGTTCGCCAGACGTAGAGTTTTTATTGCTGAAATGCCGTCCGTATTATCTAGCAAGAGAGCATAGTGCTGTGTTTCTGGCTGCTGTGTATGTTAGCCCAAGAGCTATTCCCTCGATGGCTCTCAGCAAACTCTATGATGCCATCAGCGCACAAGAGATAGCGCACATTCCAGCAGGAACACTCTGGACCATGCTTGCAGTAAGATACTGTACGTGGTGCATACAGGGCTGCACCCTGCCCCCATTTCGGACTCTGACCACATTTCTTTGTTCCTGTATCCAGCTTACAGACAAAGACTGAAACAAACAACTCTAATGCATTCACATCAGGCGATGAGACGGAGTACAAAGCTGCAAAGTACAGACTGAGGAACGCCATCACAGCGGCCAAGATGCAGTACAGAGAGAAGCTGAATGGCTTCTGTTCTACTGCTGACTCTGGACGGATGTGGCGAGGCCTGCAGCACATCACAGACTACAGGACCACTACCAGCATCATCAGCTCCACAGACAGCCTGCCGGATGACCTCAACACCTTCTACACCTGCTGTGAGACTTCCAGCCACC